TGGTAGCAGATGAAACACAATCTTTCGGCATAAAATAACATATATCAGCCTTCAGTTTCCAGAGCAGAAATTTAAGGTTTTTTTTCTCTTTGAAAAACTAAGCATGTCTTTCAAATATCTTATCTATGTGCAACACATTCTGGAAATTTTAACCCAATTTCATAATCTAGACTTGAGAAGAGACACAGTTCAAAGGCCAGAGATATTGATGAATTAATTATATCTATGCCTCTCGGGGATATAGCAAAAACAGTTTTCTTGTTCTTTCTATGCATGCAGGGTTTACATTTTCACATCAATGAGAAGTCTATGTGCTGTGGAGGGGATGGGGAGGAGGGTGGAGGTTTGACTTTTTTCCTTAAAATGAAGTTGTGGCAGAAATACAGATTTGAGGTGTGCTCTGGTGGCTCAGTCAGTTAAGCTGCCAACCTTGGCTCAGGTCATGATCTCATGGTTCTGTGAGTCTGAGCCCCATGTCAGACTCCGTGCTGACAGCTCAGAGCCTGGAGCCTGCTTCGGATTCTGTGTATCCCTCTCTCTCTGTCTCTTCCCCTCCTTGTGCTCTCTCTCTCTCTCTTAAACATAAATAAACATTAAAGAAAAAGTACCCAGATTCGATATGTTTCTATATTTTGTATCAATGTTATTTTATACTTCATTGTCTTGAGGATACAATCTTATCAGTTTTCGACAGAATTGAAACGCTGTGAATTCTTTTTTTTTTTTTAATATTTTTATTTATTTCTAGGAGAGAGAGAGAGAGACAACGCGAGCAGGGGAGGGTCAGAGAGAGAGGGAGTCACAGACTGAAACAGGCTCCAGGCTCTGAGCTGGCAGTCAGCACAGAGCCCGACGCGGGGCTCGAACCCACGAACCGCGAGATCATGACCTAAGCGAAAGTCGGACGCTTAACCGACTAAGCCACCCAGGCGCCCCGAAACGCTGTGAATTCTAAGCTAACAGCTCTGCATGGGAATCATCAGCATTTCAAAAAAGGTATTACTTTTAATTACACACAGGGCTGTTTTTTGTTCGTGTTTTGTTTATTTGTTTTGGGTCTGGAAGTATTATAGGTTCTGTTCTAAAGCTTTTGGGAAACACATTATTGGCAGACGTATTTTATAAATATATTTATCTGCAGAAATACAGGAAAAAATGCATTCTTCAACATCTGATTTTCTAGTTTATGTCTAACGAATCATAACAAATAGCAACCCTCTAAAAACACTCAGAAATATCCTCTCTTAAAAATTTGGACTTGAAGAAGTCATTTAGTCCCTTTTACTGTTGATAAACCAGAATTTTCTTGTCAAAGGTTAGGGAAAACTGTGAAGGGTCCTTAGAGATTGTCTATTCCAATCTAGTCTGTTCCCTTTCATAATAAGACAGAGGCTCAGAGTTCCTCACACAGAACATTTTTCTGACTGAGAAAAGTTCCCCATGCTTTTCTATTTTTTCAAAAAAAATTTTTTAACATTTATTCATTTTTGAGAGACATAGAGCACAAGCGGGGGAGAGGCAGAGAGAGAGAGGGAGACACAGCATCCAAAGCAGGCTCCAGGCTCTGAGCCATCAGCACAGAGCCCAACGCGGGGCTCGAACTCAGGAGCAGTGAGATCATGACCTGAGCCGAAGTCAGATGCTTAACCCACTGAGCCACCCATGCTTTTCTTATTATGCATTATTTTACTACTATGTCTTCTTGCCATGTTAGAATAAGGTACAAGTGAAGACAAAGTCAGCAGGCAAGTCTCGAGAAGTTTGATTCGGAATATTTTAAAAGTTGTGCCGCTAAGAAACATAAATATTTCATGAAAGCAAATAAGTTCATCTCATTTTAAAGAGCCCAGTGAACTCGTAAATTTTCAGCCTGTGCATTTAGGAAGTTAGCAAAAGTAGCACTGTTCTGATAGCTAGAGAGTGTCGGATTCAGAATTACACCTTGGCTGGATCAGATTCTCAAAGTCTAATGCTTGGGGTGAGGAAGGAGCTATGCATGAACTGACTCTGAGTCTATTTTCAGGCTATTTATTTTTATAATTTTTTTTACGTTTTTTAAAAAATGTTTTATTTATTTCTAGGGGAGAGAGAGAGAGAGAGACAGCGTGAGCAGGGGAGGGTCAGAGAGAGAGGGATCCGCAGACTGAAACAGGCTCCAGGCTCTGAGCTGGCAGTCAGCACAGAGCCCGACGCGGGGCCCAAACCCACGAACCGCGAGATCATGACCCAAGCGAAAGTCGGACGCTCAACCGACTAAGCCACCCAGGCGCCCCTTAAGTTTTATTTTTTAAGTTTATTTCTGAGAAAGAGAGAGAGAGAGAGAGAGAGAATCCCAAGCAGACTCTGTACTGTTAGCCCTGATGTGGGGCTTGGGCTGAGATCATGACCTGAGTTCAAGTCAAGAGTCAGATGCTTAACTGACTGAGCCACCGAGGCGCCTCTATTTTCAGGTGATTTTAATATTGAATTTTCTCCTTGCGGACTGTCATTGGTCTAGTTATGCAACTAGGAGACAAGAAAACACCAAGGAATCAGAGGGAGCGGAAGGGACACGGAGTCCCTCAAGGAATGTTCATTCGTGCCTGGTCTGTGTCAGGCACTGTAGAAAGCAGTGGGGATTGCAAAGACCACGAGCAGTTCCTGTCCTCAAGAAGGTAAGAACAACTCTGGATGGGAGACAAACACAAAAACAAATGAATACAATAAGATGTTTTGAAATAAGGTAGGAGAAGGTATAAGGTCTGCCAGTGTGGTGGCCTAGCGGCGATGGGGAGTGGGGTCAGGAGAGTGGTCTTGAGTTGTCTTGAAAGATGGGTACGTATCTGCATGCGGCCCAGCACGGAGGAGGGGGGTCTGAAGGGAAAAGAGCAGGTGTAAAAGCATGGAGATCGAAACAGAATGGATTTGGGGAGCCATGAGTAGGGAAGTTTGACCAGAAATGAACATGGGAGGAGATGAAGGTGGAGAATTTGCCAGAAGGCAGCTCGAAGATGGCTGGTAAGATGTGCTATGGAGTCAGGACTTTATCTTACATAAATCACTGTAATAACAACAATTGTACTAACTCATATGAAGCACTTACTCTGTGCCAGGCATTGATACGATCATTTTACATGAATCGAATTCATTTAATCTTTGTGACGACTCTATAACGTAACTATTATTATTATTTTACCCTCATTTTACAGACAAGGAAATCAAAGCACAGAGATGTTAAATAACTTGACAGAAGTCACACAGCTAACAAACAGAGAACCCAGAAATCATAACCGAGGGAGTCACGTTCTTTAACCCCTGGTTTGCGTGCCTACCTAATGATCTGGGAACTGTTTTTTCAGCAGAGGATGACATAATCAGATTTTACTGCAGAAGGATGGCGCAGGAGGGGCACTAGCGTGGGAGCATGGGTGGGGGTGGGCAGCGGAGGAGGGATCCAGGGAGACCAGTTATGAGACCTGACAAACCCCCCCAGGAGAGAGGCAATGACTTTCACACCCAGGGAATTCAGGAAGAAACCCAGAAACCCTCCCAAACCCAAGGAAGCTTGGCTTCTAGGGACCCAGCGTATCTGACACTCAGCGAGGATTGCACTTCATTGCTTTCTCCTGCTCTGCGCAACAATCATTTTCAGTAAGAACCTTGAAATGAAACAAATGATAATGGCCGGATAAGAAGCACAAATAGTGAAAGTGCCCTTCTATGGAAGTCTTACGTGTAATCATCCTGGTAAAGTAAATAAAAAAGATTTTCAGTGCCAGCACAATGGATTAATATTTTAAATCATATTCATATAGTTTTTGGAGAAAGGGAGAAAAATGCATTCCTACATATTAATCCAGACCAGTAGAAATGAGTAATTAAGATGGCGCAATGGTTTCCAGCTGTTTAAAGGAGAACGAGCTTTCAACATATGTTTTGTTTGCAAGAAGGGAGTACCACAGGGGTGGCATTTGGGCTCAGCGCTGAAGGACAAGTAGGGATGCATCAGGACACCTGGGAATGGGGCCTGGGGAGGACATTCCGGGAGGAGGGAATGGCATGGGGAACAGCATGGACGGTGCTGACGACTGGTGGAACTGAGCACTGTGGCTTCTTGGTCTGGCAGACCCGAGAGTGCACTAGTGCGCGGGGCTGGACAGAATGACATTTGAAAGCCTGGTGGCACCACGTGGAGAGGGTTTTGGATGCTCCAGGGAAATTTTTCTTAGAGAGAGAGGGGGCAGTGTGGGAGGCAGATGACGTAGGGTGCTCATGGGGGATGCAGGAAGTCCCAGTAAGAGGGAAATGTGCCCTAAACTCAGACAGAGGCGGCTGGAACAGAAAGCAGAAAACAGGGCACCTGGGTGGCTCAGCTGGTTAAGCGTTCAACTCTTGGCTTCCGCTCAAGTCTCGATCTCGCGGTTCATGAGTGTGAGCCCCACATCAGACTCTGCACTGGTGGCGCCGAGCCTGCTTGGGATTCTCTCTCTCCCTCTTTCTATCCCTCCCTTGCTTGTGCTTTCTTCCTCAAAATAAGTAAATAAACTTAAAAAAAAAAAAAGAAAAAGAAAATAGAATATAGAAAAGAGTGTCTAGATAGGTAGGCACCTGGGCACAGGCTTCCACAAAGCCACCAGGTCCTAAGCCTGAGTTTCAGCCTTTCCTAGCTTCCGGTTTGCATTTTGATGCACTCCAAGAGCCCAGAAGGTGTTTCACACACACACACACACACACACGCATGCACACGCACTTGCACACATGGTAGGTGCCCTCAATGGCACCAAACGGCACCTTGCACATCGTTTGCTGAAAGAATGCTGTGCTCTTGAGACAGTAGCTTCAAAAATGCCCATTAGAAAGGGCGACCTTAAAATCCTGGTTTTCGGCCAACTAACTGTATGGGCTTAAATCAGACGAGGCAAATTTATTAACAGTGTTCCTTGTCACTCTTAAAGTACCCTGCTTTTGATGATCACTTATATGGTATTACTATCTTTGGGTGACCCCTCTCCAAGGTATACCGGTGCCTTCCCAGTCCCATTTACGGAATACTGATGGTGGTGGGCGTAGGAAGAATCCCGGACCTCGTTTCTGCCTGGACCACCCCAGCGCTCCATGCCCCTCCCTGGGAACAAATGCGAGAGAGCGGAAAGAGTAAGGGAAGGAGACTCTTTGACAATGAGATTCTGGCTCCAGCTCTGCCCCCAAACAAGCTGTGCAGCCTCGGGCAAGGACATCCCCGTCTCTGGGCCCTAGGGTCCTCAGGTGGGAAGCAGGAGGGCTCAGCCAGATGCAAGGTCTCTACCGCGTCTTTGAACTCTAAGTAATTCTCAAAGGGCCCACTTGCCGGAAGCCGTAGCAGAAGGCACGTCCCGGGTCTCCCCTGAGCATCACCGCCGCCCGCAGTGGGGACACACGGCTCTACCCGGTAGTGCCCCGGGGTGGGACCCCCTTCGAAGGTTCTTGAACCACAAAAAGCCCTCAACGCTAGTCCTGCAGCAGCGGAGTCCTGGCTACGACAGCAGTTCAACAACGGCCCGTGCAGCTGCCCGCCCCGCGCGCCCCTGCCCGCCCGCCGGCAGGGCTGGGGGCCCCGCGGACCCAGCTCCCGCCCGCCCCCGTCGCCACGCCCCACCCCTGCCCCCCGAGCGTGGCAGAAGGCTTTGTGCCTGCGGGTCGGCTTCGTTTGTTTTACCTTAACTCCCTCCTCCCAGCCCTTCCTGGGCTCGGGGACTCGCGTCCGGTCGTCGGCAGCCTGCGAGGGGCCGCAGCCCATGCCGCGCGCCGCGCGCTCCACTCCCGGCCGGGCCTCCAGGGGGCGCTCCCCGCCGCGCCCCTGCGCCCCCGCGCCCTGCGCCTTGACCTTGCCCCCTGCGCCCGCGCCCCTGCGGCCTGCGGCCTGCGCCCCGCGCCCCTGCGCCCCGCTCCCTGCGCTGCGCCCCGGTCCCCCGCCCCTGCGCCCCCGCGCCCTGCGCCTTGACCTTGCCCCCTGCGCCCGCGCCCCTGCGGCCTGCGCCCTGCGCCCTGCGCCCCTGCGCCCCGCTCCCTGAAAGCCTGGGCTGGAGGCGCGCGGCCTCGGGGCAGTTGCCGGGAGCTGTTGCCACAATAAACCGCATCACGCGGACCTGGGACCTGGGCGGCGGCAGGTCGTCTGTAACTGAACCTGGACGGCGGGAGGCGCCTCGGTCACGCCGAGGATGCGAACTGCAGCCGTCTGCAGAGGAAAGGGCAGGGAGGGGGGCTCACTGGCCGAGGCAGGCTTCGAAGCGCCGCGGTCCTCAGCCTCCTGCGGGACCTCTTATTTGCTCCCGTCTGAGGCCCCGGGACCCGCCCCGCCGGGGCTGTGGCTTCCGTGCTGCGGGCTGCGTGGCCGCAGGCTGCGTGGCCAGCCGCTGCCCGGCCCCAGACGGCAACGTCACAGGCACACCTCGGGACGACGGCCACACAGACAGAAACCCACACAATGAGGAAAACCAGGCATTAGGATCCTAACAGCTCAGCAGCCGCGAAATGGGTCCCGCGGATCATTTTTATAGAAGGCATGGTCTGTGAGCTGTTAACCTGGGAAGGAGTTGCATTCTCAGAGAATTCAATGAAAAATGCAGTAATCCGCCAAACAAGGCAGGCCAGGAAGACTGAGCAACAAGTTCCTTCCTGGATGTTTTTTCTTTGTGTCCTATTTTTAATTCTTTTTTTTAATTTTCAAGAATTTTTTTAAAAAGTGAAAGGGGTCTTAGACGTCATCTACCACCATCCTATTTTACAGGCTGTAAACCTAGGCTCAGAGAGGGTGATTCAGATTGGGGTGTGGAGGCTCGTTAAGGAGGAGTCTGGAACCAGGAACCAGGTGGCCTCATAGCAAGAGTCTTGCACAGAGAGTCGGGACCGGAGGCTTTTCTTTCCAGGAAGCAACTTTATTCCAGCCAGCACTGCTCAGTTGGATTCGTACCCTCAGAATGGAGCCCCCAACGGCCTCATGGCGTAGTTTTTAAAATGCATTTTTTACTTCTTTGCCTCCCACATATGGTGAGGCACAAATATGTAGTCTAATTAAATGGTCTCCATGTTACAAGGTTGTGATGGATGCTGTCATGTTCGCGTCTATAAACCAGGTTGTCTTGAGGTGCTTTTTTTCTTTCCTTAGGGAGGGGACCCTGGCACAGCCTGACTCAGTCCCATGAATCAGCAGCACCAGGAAAATCCTAGGAGGGATTCTGGGAAATGTAAAAATCCTGGGTCTTTCCAGGGAAATTACTGGTCAGTTCTGTTACAGACGTTGATTATCTGGGTTATAGCATTTAACCTCATTTCACTGCCTCTCTTTACTGCTTGGATGGTGTTCTTGTCAATTTTCCTTTTACTAAAATTGAGAAAAGAGGAAATGTGGGATAAAACTCAAGTCAAAGCATTAGAATTATTGAGCAAGGAGCAGTCAAGATTTGTGAATGAAGAGGTGAAACAAGGCTCAGATGGCATTTGGGGAATGTCTCTGAGAGAATTAACTCCCGGGTGCAATAAGTCACATGAGACGTTCCAACTGGAGACTGAGCACCCTCGACCAGAATAAGCCCACACAAGACAGCAAAGAAATGTTCTTGAGAAAGTTTAGTGAATATTTGCAGGATGAACCGTGTGATTTTTTTTTTAAGGCAACCGGGGAACAGAGATTGGATAGGACATCAGTGTGAATACATGGGGTAGAATCACGGTGTACCGAATGTGTTGTGCGAGTCTGCCTGGAACTTTAGTCCACGGTTGTGAAAATGTTCTTTTTCTAGCAATGTGCTACAGCTTGCTTGTACTGCCTCAGGAGAGCTGATTGTCAGGAATACTTGGGCCGGGTTGTTAAAACAAAATCATTCTTAAAAATGAAGTTATATAAATGTACCATCAAATTAGTTGTATTAAAAATAAAGGTAATAAATACAACTCATCAGCTCCTAATTATTTTATTACAACTTACCGTTGGGCACCTGAGCGGCTCAGTCGGGTAAGTGTCCGACTTCAGCTCAGGTCATGATTTCACTGCTCGTGAGTTCAAGATCTACGTCGGGCTCCACACTGACGGCACAGAGCCTGCTTGGAATTCTCTCTCTTCTTCTCTCAAAATAAACAAATAGACTTTAAAAAATAAAATAAGGGCATCTGGGTGGCTCAGTCGGTTGAGCATCCAATTTCATCTGAGGTCATGATCTCACGGGTAGTGAGTTTGAGTCCTGTGTTGGGCTCTGTGCTGACAGCTCAGAGCCTAGAGCCCGCTTTGGATTCCGTGTCTCCCTCTCTCTCTGCTCCTCACTCCCCCTCCCGCTCTGTGTCTCTCTCCTTCAAAAATAAATAAACATTAAAACAATTAAAAAAACAATTTACTCCTATGTTTCTGAATGTATTTATCATATCTGTGTGCTCTACTGCCCTGGGTCTCTTTCCAGCTCCGTGTCCAGTGACATCACATCCGTAGTTTGAAATCAGCCAAGGTGGGAATATGGACACCATGAAAATCAATAAAAGCTACGAATCAGGGCTTTCTGCCTCCCCACATCCAGCCCCTGGAATTCGTTATTAAACGTCTGCCAGCACACCACTGCCTTTTCCTTTCCAGAACACCAAGGAATGGCTCTGCTCTGCTTACCCTTCGCTGATTTCTGCAGCAAAGTGGCATTGGCCACCCCTAGCCCCAGCCACAGGATGTGTGTGGCTATCATCTCCCCTTCGCCCTTCTCACTGGAGAGTTGCCCTGAGGCTCTGTGCTGCTGGCCCATAACGATCATACTCTGGTCCTGGATAACTTGTTTCCACTTTGAAGGCTGCCAGTGTGAAAAAGCCTTTGATTTTCACCCAAACAGGGCCACATCGCTTGCCCATTTTTTTTTTTTTTTTTACTTCTACGCCGAAGGTGGGTCTTGAACTTACCACTCTGAGATCAAGAGTCATATGCTCCACAGACTGAGCCAGCCAGGTACCCCCATCACTTGCCCATTTTAAAGTTTGACCACCATCCTTGGTTTTCCTACCCAGTTTTGGATAATCTCAAGACGGTCAGCTTTCCATTTCCCAGTGGCATTTAAGCCTGAGGTTTGACTGGGGTGATGAAGACATTGAAAGAACTGGTGCCTCTCAAACTACAATGTGTGCGCCCCGGAGACCTTGTCAAAATACAGATTCCCATGGGGTAGGTTTGGGGTGGGGCCCAAAGACCTCATTTCTAACAGGCTTGCCGTCTGCTGTTGACGGAGAATTGCACTTGGAGTAGGAAGGTATGGAACACATGTGGCTGTCAAAGCATTACTTCAGAAGACAGAAAGGACAAATGGCAGGAGGAGAAAGAATTGAAGAGGAAGTGACAGGAGTCGGGAGGGGGGAGTATGAAAATTAAGTCCATACTTCATTTTACTCCCATCTGGGAAGGACCTTTACGCGTAAAGTTGCGAACCGGAACACACGAGCTTCTCACCCCTCTTCTCTGGTGGAGGATGGGTAACTGGGTTATGGTGAGGGAGAAAATTCTCATTTGCTGTTACCCGAGCTCTGGAGTTAGATTTTTTTCCTCTTCTGTTCGTTCTGAGATCATTACCTTTCCAGGGATGGCGGGTGGGTAAACTAGAGGGCAGAGCTAGATGTCTCTCTGTAGCGCTCAGAGCGTTAGTGCACAGGGTGGGTTTGGTAGAGGCAGCTGAAAGGTTTCAGGTTTCAGTGATTAGAAAAAGTTATGTGTGGACCTTCATTCCCAAACATGTTCCAAATGACGAATTTCTATAATAATGGCTATTACTAAAAATTTTTTTTTTTTTTACAAATAGTTTATTGTCAAATTAGTTTCTACATAACACTCTAAAAAATTTTTTTAAATGTTTATTTATTTTTGAGCAAGAGAGAGATGGAGCATGAGCAGGGGAGGGGCAGAGAGAGGGAGACACAGAATCTGAAGCAGGCTCCAGGCTCTGAGCTGTCAACACAGAGGCTGAGGTGGGGCTCGAACCTACGAACCATGAGATCACAACCCGAGCTGAAAGTCAGATGCTTAACCAACTGAGCCCCACAGGAACCCCCTGGGTTTTTTTTTTTTTTTTTTTTTTTGAGTGCTTGCTAAGGATTAGGTAAGAGAAGGAAGCTGACAGCTCTGTGGGTATTGCTATTTTATTAGTCAATTATTGGCTTCAAGTATGGATTGGAAAAATATGACCCACAGGCCAGATCGGGCCCACTGCCTGTCTTTATTGGACATCTGAGCTAAGAATGGCTTTTATATTTTTAAACAGTTGAAAAAAATATTGGAAAAATTTTTGAAAAAGAAGAACATTAGTCATTTGTGACAATTATATGAAGCTCCAATTTCAGTGTCCGTAAATAAAGTTTTATTGGAACATAGTCAGCCCCATTTGTTTACATATTATCTACACCTCCTTTGTGTCATGAGTGACAATGACCATATGGCCTGCAAAGCTGAAAGTATTTATTATCTAGCCTTTAATGGAAAATGTTTGCTGATCTATGATTTAAAATGATAAAGTCATTCCTGCAAGGATCTCAAATAACTGTGTGGAACCCTAATGGCCTGGAAGAGTTTGCACTGCTTTCAGAAGGGCAAAAATCTCCTAGGGGACAGATGCCACCCAGGGGGAATTCATCTAACTAACTAACAGAACTCCCAGCCCTGTAAACCACTCTGTTAAGTGGCTTCATTCAGTCCCCCTCCCCCACCCCCATGCCTCGCCCCAACACCCTGTTCAGCAGGAAGGCTGTGGGGTGGGGCACACCACCTCACTGTGTTGACATGGG